TAAATAAATAATTTCACATTAAATCAATAAAATTGGGATACAATAATTTATAAAGAACCAGTATTTCGATTATTGAATCGTGGTCAAACAAATCAAATGCTTTGCTGAAATATTTACCAAAGTTGTTGGCCTAGCTGATACAACCCCTCAGCCAGCCGAAAATTGGCAAGCTGGCTGTCTCACGGGTCTACTGGCTACGGGCCTGCTCTCAAACAAAACATGTGACAATTACTGATATCCTGAATAAAAATCTGTTTTCAACAACCAAAAAACAATCTTAGGCTATTTATGAGTTGATATTTTAATCCAAACAAAATTCAATTGAAAAATGTAGTTATGAAAATTCCGAGGTTGGAGAGTAGATAGCCACTACCCTTTTAGTAGTATCTTCATCACGTATTTGACCGTCATGGTTTTAACAATTTGAGAAACAATCCTAGTTCAAAACTATTCTATCCCACTGAGGCATGTAAAATACTAATGTACATTAAAACTACTAGTATAGTTCTTGCCGATACGCCAGTTCACCTTTTCCGCGTGGACACGTATAGGCTAGTGCAGATTAATTATTATTGTGAATATATATAGAGTTTCAAGTCCGAATAATTCAGCTATATCAACTATTTAAAGAAACGTCTTACAAGCTGAGAGAGCTTTTTTCAGGCTATATCCTGTATCGTTTTTCAAATTGGTATTTAGAACTTTTGATTTAGTCCGCTTACACGTTAAAGGGACAGATGCGCCATTTTAGGGGGTTGATTTTAATCTTGAATATATTTAGATAGTCTTCAGAAGTACTGGAAATGTACGAATCGCATAATTCCTTTAAAAATATCTCAAACTAGAAATTTTACTCACTATTTCTATATTTGTCTTTTCTATATATCACGGAGTATCTTAAATTGACGAGTCGTCATTTTAACATTCAAACGCAGACGCACATGAATTTGAAGGCTCAAATTTCGACGGTGAGCTGTGAACACTATTACTGATTAACTCAACTAATGAATTCCAGTTTCTGAGACTAAAGTATGATTGGTCACAAAAACAATTGTAAAGACTGATTATAACGTACCGTAATCTTACACTGTCGATTTCAGCGGGTCGAATATATTTATTCGAAGACGATGTATGATTCGTAGTTTTAACCTGAAATATGATCAAATTCACTCGGCCTTTAAAACCGAAAATTTAGACGCCTTTATCCCTTTAAACTGACAAAAATATTTGAGTCAACAACAGTCGGACATGAATATTAAGTATAAACTTTGAAGGATATATATTGCGACACACTGGTGAATGAAACAATACAAGTCAAGGATATCTCGCGTGAACAAAATAAATTGCACTGAGCCGTCTTTACATGTTGAATCAAGGATATGCTCTAATACCCTGCTCGATTTATAATACCTCACTCTCGTGATCTGATTATTATTCATAATGGATTTAAACAACAAAGTAGGTGTAATAACGGGTGCAGCCCAGGGGCTCGGAAAGGCATTTGCTGAAGCCTTATTGTCCAAGGGAGCGAAGGTAAGATTAAGAATTCTTTGATAAGCTGGAAACTTTAACTTCCTGTCATATTACCATATTTGGCTATATCTGGATTCCGACTATAATCCAATAAAATTAATTAAACTAAGTAATAATTCATTATGTAATTTTGAAACACAGTTAGAAGTGTGTTTCAATAATTATTTAGTTTAACGGATATGTCGTCTTACATAGAGATTCTATTCTTTAGTCATTGTAAGTCCAACGGATGAATATAAATACTTGTTGACCAAGTTTTAGACTGAATTTTATGGCCATTTTAAGAGGTAGTATTCCTTTAAATTCCAAAAGGGGTCTACTTTGATATACTGTCAAATTATGTACTTATAATGGTCAAAGTATCCCAGAAGATGATTCGTATCAAAATATCACCAGCATATCTTAAAAGTGATTAATATTCATCCACTATTTTGAGTTCACTTTGTCCGTAAGATTTCTGTGGCTTTCCGTCTCTTTTCACTGGTTTAACTGTTACATTGTAGGTGTCCATTTCGGACGTGAATGTAGAGGTGGGGAGAAAAACAGCTTCTGAATTTGAAAAGAAATATGGAAAAGAAAAAGTGTTATTTATGAAATGTGATGTTACGTCTTCAGAAGAGTTTGAAGGTAATAGAAAGCGGGGAAGTACAGACCATTCTACAGATATTTCTGATTTCCAGGAATTTTCTATGGCGTAAATGAGGCGTTTTGTAGTCTGGCATAACATTTATGAATAATTATGATTTAAGCTGTTTTAGTTTAGTCAGTCAGGCTATATTCTCTCACAAGAAAAAGAATTCAGGGTAAACTTCACAGAAAATCAAGAAATAGTGAGTATTTATAGTGGGAGAGGGTTAATAGTAAGATTTAATTGGCTTGTACTACAGCGACTACAGCCAATCAGAAAGACTGTAAATATTATAGCTTAATATTTACAGACCTTTTGTCGAGGCCTCTGATTGGCTGTATTTGCTAGCGTTTAATCCAATCAAATCACTGCATTTGCAAACTTTTGTGACACAAGAAAGGTGGCTATTGCAGTCAAAGTATAAGTTGGTAATAGTTTGACATTGTAAAGATGAATTATTATAGATGTTTTTAAGAAGACGAAGACGAAGTATGGTAATATAGATATAGTCATCAATAATGCTGGAATAGTGAATGAAAAACATTGGAAGAAAGCTATCCAGATTAATTTGGTAGGTTGACACGGTATCGGGGACACTGGCAGCATTAATTTGCAACATTCCAAACTAAGTGTTTTATGACGTCACCCCCGCCAAATTTGCTTGTATCACATAAGACATTTGCGGGAGTGACGTCAGAAAACGTCAGTAGAATTGCTGAAACCACAGATTTCTGATTGAAAATTAGAATGGTGCAAATTGACGCTATCATTGTCCCCGATACACATACAAAATTTAGAAAACCTCTTTACAATCACTTTAATGTAACATCATTGCGTAATCTGCGTTAATTTAGAAGAAGTTAACTTGGCGTTAGGTCATAGTCGTGGGAAGACGTGTTTGCTGTATGCATCACTGCAGTGGATTTTTTGAGGGAAGGTGATGGGGTGGTCAAAGCTCTGACCGCGCCCCCCTCCCACTTTCAAATATCAAACCATTGTATATAGGTTAAGAATTGTTAATGAGCTCCTCTGGTTTTTGTGCCCTCTACACGACCCACCCCCACCTCCAGCTATTGATTCGTCAGTTTTTCTATTTATTTTATTGTAGATGGGAAGTATCGAAGGAACGTTATTGGCCATACAGTACATGAGTCGGTCTACTGGGGGACAGGGTGGTGTGATTATCAACATAGCCTCAGCTGCTGGTACGTCTAACATCTTACCATAAAATGGTTGCTGCAACTGGAACCACGGCCTCGCCCAATTCTAGGGAGACGAATGTTTCAGTGTCGTATCTACTGAGAGGGAGGGGGTCATCAGAATTGAGGCCTTGGTTCCGAACCTGGGGTACTAAAATTCTCTGGGATTGCAGTGAATACCACAAGGGGTGTCTGTCTGAGATCCCTACCACTCAATCTGATACTCGTGGGTACTAAAGGAAAGACGTATGAAAGGTTTTCTCGAGTCTGTAAGGTTTGGAATCAAGGATCAAGTTTATATCTATTATAGGGTTACAGCCAGTTTTTACCATGCCGACTTACAGTGCTAGTAAACATGGTACAGTAGGCTATACAACCAGCTGGGCGGTAAGTTATTTCGATTCCTTTTGGGAGTTATCTTTCAAGGTAGACTTGGGCGCTTTGAATAGAATTAAATTACACAGCAGTGAAAAAGGGTGCACTCTATTGGTATATTCTGAACAGGTTCATGAACAGGTTCTGTTCCAATTCTAGGTGTCAATCGAACAGTACGACACCAGATATGTCACATTCCCAATTTACTCTTCTATTTATTTCTCTGCCATTTTGAATTCCGTACACTCCTATATTTTAATTGGATACTTCGAACACATTCTGAACCCCCACCTGAAATAAAGATCTACGAAATAAATTAATCTGAGAGTCAAATAAAGCTGAATTTAAATTCGATATTATTGATTGAATCAATTGATATTAAAATACATGGGAGATTGATCTCCTCTTGGCAAGGCCGTGGCATTATGGTGACAAATGAAATAAATTCCTTACTTCTAACCCTACGACGACACACTAGAATAATCTACCCCCTCTATGAAGAATTTGTTTCATCCTAACCCTTTGCACCGAACATCCCCTCCCCCCTCTATGAAGTAATTGTTTCATCCTAACACTTTGTACCAAACACGCCCCTCCCATCTCATTCCTCCCTTCACCGAAGTCAATGCCATCTATACATCATCTATACATTGTAATTTCAGCAAAATCCAGAAAATACAACTAATGGTTTAAGATTTAACTGTATATGTCCAACATTTGTTGATACTAATATTATTAAGATAACTGATGATAACACTCTGTCTAAACAGGCTTCAGAACAACTCTTACAACATTACGGTGTTATGGGGTGAGTGTTAAAGGATATCGGGGTTAATTATTCTCGATATCACCCGGTAGCGTACTAACCCATGGGTCGAGATAGTCTTCTAATTTATTAACAGGGTTTCCCTTGGCGGATGGACTGAAGCCAAGATTTATAACTATGGCTGTGGCACATTCGGTTATATCGCTATATCTTTAACATACGTCATTTGCTTGGTCATGTCGAGCAAATTATGGTCGTAGGTTCTAATCTCGGTCGACGTGTGAAAGTCTCGTCACCATGAATTAGTAATCTCTTCTCATTATTATATAGATATGTTGTGTCTTTGATACGCGAAATGCTTCCAATTGTTGGTACGTACAATGAAATATTTGTGTATAGGAAGGAGGTTTTTATTTCCATCTGATCATTGATTGCAAGTGATGTCCACAGAAAAAAAAACGAAACAAAGACCGAATTTTTGTATTTAAATCGGTTTATTACAGAGTAGAGAAGGTAGTAGAAGGGGTGATGGAGGTGATTACAGACAAATCTAAAAATGGTGCCGTTTTGAAAATAACGTCTCAAAACGGGTTAGAATATCTTAACCAATAGATCGTAATGACAATTATAATTCTTAATCAAACTAACAACAACATTCACCGGGTTCACTCAAAGATTATACTTGTTGAGTTTGGGTAATCTTTATGGAACATTTTATCTTAAAGAGAGAGATGCGCCATTTTGTGGGGTTTATTTGAGTCTTGAGTATATGTTAATTGTCTTCAGAATGTTTATCTTTAATCTATTGTTATTGTTGTTTATTTATCACTAATCTTAGAGAGTTATAGAACTCAGCTTTTGACTATATTTATACGTCTTGTTCATTATTCAGCGAACGTTAACTTGTCATCTACCTACCATTATTAGTTTGTGCTTGATAAAGATTCCTGTATGTGAATTGAAACTTTGCAAAAATTAAAGAAAGGATTAGTATATCTATAATAGTGTTATTATTTATTATTTATTCAATAGTCTTCAGTAATACTAGAAATGTACGAAAATCGCATAATTCCTTTAAAAACACCTCAAAAAAAAAATTTCTTTTCCTATAGCTATTGATGTGGCAAGAAAAGACGAGTCGTCGTTTTAACGGAGGAACAATTGTTATAGAATCAGAATCAACTCAGTTTTGTTAAAACGTTTAATACACCAAATAACTGGATTTATTGTTCATTAAGTTTAATTAAATATAGGCCTATGTAATTGAACCCTTATTAATATATTCTTTAAGTGAAATTCCCTACTAATTATCTACATGTCAAAGACTGTTTTTTTTTTAAGTATATTGATGTATTTTGATTTTTCGATTCATCTATTTATTTCAAGGACGTCTATTTTGTATTTATGGTTACTAGATATAGTTTAAATACCGATGTTGACCTGTAACTTTATCAATAAAAGAGGTTTTCTTCATTTGTTTATGTGTATTAGGGACACTGATAGCATCAATTTACACCATTTTTAATTAGACGCAAAATATACTTTATCTTACAAACACTTCACGATTAGTGACGTCTTCAAACACTTCG